GACGCAAAAACCTGACATACAAGAGAATGTGCATCAAGTGCATTAAAAAAACTCTTTCAGTACATTCAACAATAGCCAGGTCTGACGAGGTTTCATTATACGATATACTGGGGCTCAACAGCAGCTACTCACTTCTCAATGTTTGGTTTTGTCTTCTTTGCTGGTGTATTATCAGTAGGTTTGGCGGACCATGATGTTTCAGAGATTGGTCCTGAATTCTGCACAAACACCACAAAACAGCATTACATCATCTGATTACTGACAGGTCTGCAAAGGAAACTAAAACTGCAGCAGCATTTCGAGGTTTAATGTCATGACTTTATGAATTCAGGACTTTCTGCTCCAATTTAGGACATTTTTAGGCCTTAATCTGTGGCTTTTTAAAACCTTTTTAAAACTCACATAAAATGTGTGATTTGTTTTTGGCAAGATTTAATCAAATAAACATTAAAAAAAATTTTTGTTTGAGCAAGTAAACAGGAACCAAAAAAAAAAGTATGCAGATTCAGCCTAAATCATGCTGTCACTTAGTAAGGGTTCAATAGTTTGGCATCCAGTTTTGTTTTGTAGTTATTAGCATAAAATACAGCAAACTACTTTGTTTGAAGGTTGAGCTTGTCAAATGCAGTCAGTGTGTGTAAACACCGAGAACATGGAATGAGATTATTTACTTGTCTTCAGACAGTCCGAATGATTTTATTGGTGTTTTGACATGTTATTAAACATAATCATGATAAACAGTCCTGCGTGACTCTGCATGTCTGTGACGTGTGAGCTCACCAGCTCTTGGCTCAGCAGCCTGGCCAGCTTCTCATCGTTCTCCAGCTGCTGCTCCTCCCGTCTCCTCCTCTCCTCCGCCATGCGCTCCTCCTCCTCAGCCAGCAGCCGCTGGATGTACTCCTCACTGGCTCTCCTCTCGGCTTCCTCTAGAGCTCGCTTCTCCTCCACCAGCTGTTCAAAACAGGAAATGAGATCATGACCCTTCACCACAACACAACATAAATAACAAATTAAGACTTTATTCACTCTAATTGAAAATGTGCATACAAAAAAAAAAATTATAATTGAATTCATACTTGAAATAAGTCTTCAATTGTACACCACTGTTCAAAGGTTTGGGGTCAGTTTTAATTTCAGATCAGAAATTAATACTTTATTTAGCAAGGATGCATTAAATTGACCAAAAGTGACAGTAAAGACATTTATAATCTAAAAAATATTAATATTTTTAACAAATGCGTTTCTTTTAAATTTTCTGTTTTCAACATTGATAATAATCAGAAATGTTTCTTGAGCAGTAAATCAGCATATTAGAATGATTTCTGAAGATCATGTGACACTGAGGATTGGAGTAATGATGCTGAAAATTCAGTTTTGATCACAGCAATAAATTACATTTGAATATATATTCAAACTAAAAGTTTTTAAAATTGTATTGATATTTCACAATATTACTGTTTTACATTATTCTTGATCAAATAAATGCAACCTCGCATAAGAGACTTCTTTCAAAAAACATAAAAAAGAAATCTTATAAACAAACTTTTAAATGGCATGATCGGCAATTTTCAGAACTCAAAATTCTCTCTAATCTGAAAACACCAGCAGGTACTGAAATAGTTTCCATAATATAAATACCATAAACGGAAACGAGTTTATTCAGGATTTTTTTAAAGGTACAACAGCAAAAAAAAAAAACATAAAATAAAATAAAAATGTACATATGATAGTATAATAGATATAATAGAGTGTTTAATTTCAAACTATTAAAAGATCAAAATTAACCAAAAATTATTCACAATTCAAGAATGATTTCAGATCTTTCAAAACTTCCATTGCAGCACAGTTTGTATGCAGCATTATGCACATTGAGCAGGACTGGACACACAAACAAAAACTATTGTGTTGCTGGCAGCCAGCACAACAATACGGCCCCATTGTAAACACAGGACTGCACTCTGTAATGTGCATTCAGGGAGGCACACCTGCCATTTCATTGGCTAAAGATCCAACACATCTACAACAGAGAGACCGCCCTGAACCTCTCACCTTACTGATCTGATCCTCATACTCTTTCCTCAGCTCTCCCGGCTGACACACGTGAGGTCTCGGAATCGTTACTGGGGAAAAAAAAGACTGCATAAGTAATTATAATGAACGCAATATGCATTAACATGAAACACTTATGTAGCACATATTGCTTCAATCAAGCTACGCTCTCTGTACCAGCATCATCGTCGTCATCGACTCCCTGCACTCTCCGCTCACACTGAGTGGGGAAAGCATCCTGTATGCGTCTCCACAGCTCCACATTCACCAAGGTCTTGTTGCGGCTGTTGAGTCGCGCCCAAGTGGACACGCGTTTTCGGCAAAGTGGACAGCAAGTGTTGGACTTGTCCACAGTTTCCATAAAGCAGGGTTTGCAGAAGGTGTGCATGCAGGGCAAAGTGACCGGCTCCAGGAATATGTCCAGACAGACCGGACAAAGGCAGTCTGAACGTTTAAGACCCCCAGAGCTTTCTTCAACCGGACCCGTGTCCAGTCCAGACACAGGCGGCATTCTGCGGCCCGTCTCTATACGTCAGTGTGTGAGGTTTCTCTCTCTCGGGTTCAAGAGCAGCATATGACAGTCAGCTGAAAGACAAAACAACAGCGACAATTATTACCTACAACAAGGGTACGGGCCTAGAAATGTGCTACATTAGATTCAGGGTTTCCACCACCAAAGTACAGCAGGATTTGCATGGAAAAGGAGATTTCATGGGACTGCAAAGGTTGAAAGCTCCTGCATTAGGTGTATTCATTCAAATTAAACCTCTACATATGAACTGCTTATTCATATCAACAATCCCGCACATCACATAGATAACCAGCTACTTGTTTTTTGTTTTTTTTAAACGCCATAGGTATTTTTTTACTACATTAAAACATCCCTTGCAACGAATAATTAAGTAAAAAAGATTTTAACAGTTGTTTACATGGTCTAATCATTAGTTCTCATGCATAATTTATATATGGCATTAACCTGTGCGAATTATACCACAAGACGCCCAAAAATGCTTATTTTATACACCTTTTCCATTCAAATATATTGTCAGATTACGTACAGACTAATCTGATAGAAGTTATGCTAACTCACATCTGGAGGCTAGCGAACTAGCAACTTTGTAGCAGTGTGAGCGATTACTGTAAGGATAAGACGTAAGATGTAAACTTTCCATTATTCAAAGCAGTTAACGTCTTATTTGTTAAGATTGGTCTATTAATGTGAGTGTCAATGAACAATTCAAAGTATTACAATTCACTCTTACTTGTTTATTTCTAGGCTCCAAAACCCCGGGAAATTTTGCGCCCTCCTCCTCGCGCCTGTGAAGCCATGAGCGCCGATGACAGAAGTGCATTTCAAAATAAAAGTCGTTCGGTTTTATTGTGGACTGATGGATTAAGAGTTAAACTAAACTAAACTAAACTAAAAAAAAACTCTCTTTTTGATGAAGCATTGCCTTAAGTTTTAAAAGCTTAACAATGAAATGTTTCACAGGCCAGAAAGGCTGAAAGACAGTCAGAGAGACTATTTAAAACATTTAAAAAAAAAAATAATAATAATAATAAAAACAAAGGAACGTAATAAGAAAAAAATGAAATGAATGGCCAACACAGCTGCACACATTTTTCAGATATGTGTTAAAGTTTAAGGACATTTGTTAGTACATTTGTATTTGTTACAGCAGATCCAACATTGAAAAACGGGTTTACTGCTGTGGAGTCATTGCTTTTGTCATCATTTATCAGTGGCACATGTTTGAGACGAACGAAAATGACCTCCTCTAGTCTAGTTGTTAAAGTTGATCATTCATACACTGAACTACTTCAGTTTATACGTTCAATAAACAGAGAAGGGGAAATGTGACTGGTTTGATTACTTCATTCAGTCTTTCTGTTGTCATTCTATTAACATTTTGGCGCAAAATATGGCATAAACATTGTTTATGACCTTTATTTCTTAAGTGACGTGACATGTGGCCAAGTATGGTGACCCATACTAGGAATTAGTGCTCTGCATTTAGCCATCCTAAGTGCACACACACAGCAGTGAACACACACACCGTGAACACACACCCGGAGCAGTGGGCAGCCATTTATGCTGCGGCGCCCGGGGAGCAGCTGGGGGTTCGGTGCCTTGCTCAAGAGCACCTCAGTCGTGGTATTGAGGAACTTATATCTAACTTGTTCAAAAGTCATGATCTTCTAAGAATACACGAGAAGCAACACTATTACAGTGGGCTACAGTCCGAATTATAAGTCTAACTTAAACTAACATGTCTGACCATTCTTTTCTCCAAACTGTATATCATCAATTTTAAAAACAACAACAACAAGCAAATGACATAATTCAGCCTTCTTTAATCATCATGTGCGATCCTTTGACCAGCAGAGGGAACTACTGTTACACTCATCAATGAAACGTGAACGACTGCATCCCAAATCACTTACACTATGCACTATGAGGGACATTTCTATTTGGTCACTTTTTTAAAACATATTATAATCCAAGTATGTTCAGCATACTATTGTCAAAATATTATAATGTGAGACAGTGATTCACAATGATTGATTTCATTGAGTGCGTCATGAAAGGACAAAAGTTATGTTATTAATAATCAATACACTGTTGAAAAAACCAGCATATGCTGGTTAGGTATGTTTTGACACTGGGATGCTGGTTTAAGCTGGTCCTTTGCTGGTTTAAGCTGGTCCTTTGCTAGTTTATGCTGGTCCTTTGCTGATTTAAGCTGGTCCTTTGCTGGTTTAAGCTGGTCCTTTGCTAGTTTATGCTGGTCCTTTTGCTGGTTTATGCTGGTCCTTTGCCAGCACATGACCAGCATAAACCAGCAAAAGGACCAGCAAAGGACCAGCTTAACCCAGCATCCCAGCGTCAAAACATACCTAACCAGCATATGCTGTTTTTTTCAACAGCAACAGTTTACAAAAACATCTATACATTGTAGATTGGTTTATAAAAAGAGTCAAATATCAGAGTGTAGGTTTGTCTTCATGTTCAGGAGACGGACTGGAGGGAGACGAGATGTTGTTAGGACTCTGTGTTCTTCCTCTGTATCGCAGCTCAGAGACTTGCCTCTCCATTTCTTCAAGAACGGTTCTACTCAATGACTGGAGAGAACGACATGAGGGACAGTATGCAAGAAAACAGAGAAAAATATACAGCGGTCCAACCCTTAAAAATGCTTTAATTATTAGATTAGAATAATAGGTATTGCTATTAATGATAATATAATATATTCTGTCTCACCTGATTTTCAGCCAGTGCCTCTTTGGCCATGTAATGCTCTCGTTTGATCTTAATTTCCACCTCCTCTGGAATATCTGGCACCATCCAGTCAATAATACGACCAATCAGGAGAACAACATGCTGAAAAAACAACAACAACAACAGTTTAAAATTGTGTGCGGTCTTCATTTTATAATCATCTATATCAAATCTACCGTAAGGCACTTTATACTGAAAACTCTTAAACTATATACTAAAAAACTAAACTTTTGTATATTACTTTTAGTAGTAATTTCATAGTAAAGTATAATATATTTTATGTACTGTACTAAATGTTTTTAGTTTTAGGAAGTAACATCATGCGCCCATTTTCAGAACAAATGTACATGCAAAGTTAAAAAAGGGATGTTTGCTCAAACTAGTACTAGACTGTGCACCTCAAATATAATGACGAAACTCAGTCGAATGGCCAGCAGATGATAGTAATCTTGTGTGGGCTGCCCTTTATCATCCCTGAGGCCTCGATATCTGAAAATAAAATAAAAAACACTCTTAATCAGCCTCTTTGTCATTCCTAACCTTACATATCTCAACATGAAAAGCCAGGATGTTCCCCGACACAAAGAGCAACTACCTCTACTACTTAGTGATGTGATTTTGAAATTGCTAGGTGTTTTTTAGAGTGGTACATCTTTGTATGCACATCCCATTTTATAAAAATATATACATTATCATTCAAAAGTTTGGGCTCAGTATGATTTTTTTTTTTTTTTTCCTTTTGTAAAGAGTACTTTTATACTTTTAAGACTACTTCTAAAATACTTTTACTTGGCATTAAAAGTGACAGTAAAGACTTACTGTACATTGTTACAAAAAAATATATATTTAAAATAAATGCTGTTCTTTTGAACTTTCTATTCATCAAATAATTCTGAAAAAAATGTAGCATGGTTTCCACAAAAATACGAAACAGCCAAACTGCTTTCAACATTGATAATAATCAGAAATGTTTCTTGAGCAGCAAATCAGCATATTAGAATGATTTCTGAAGCATCACGTGACACTGAAAACTGGAGCAATGATATTGAAAATTTAGCTTTGATCACAGCAATAAATTACATTTTAAAATACATTCAAATAGAAAACTGTTATTTTAAACATATATCACAACACTACTGTTAACTGTATTTTTATCAAATAAATGCAGTGAGCAGAAGAGACTTCTTTCGAAATCCTACCAACCGCAAACTATTGAACAATATATCAAGAAAATGGTATATCAAGAGTTTGATCTTCACCTGCATGTCATGTGGCTTTGGGTGAAGTTTGCAGGGGCCGCTGAGAGGGTGAAGTCGATGTATCCTCTCATGCTGCCTGTAGTGTAGCGATAATAGAGCCGCGGCAGGAAATCAGACGTGAAGGCAATCAGGAAAGCCTGGCAAAAGATCAAGGCATCAAACAAGATATGCAGCCTGTCTAATTAACTTTATTTTGGACTAAAATTGTTGGACATCAAAAGCTGTAAATAAGCTTGGCACACAGAACAATGGCACACACACACTGTAAGACTGATCCCAGAACTGTGCCAAGGGTTGAGGAGCAACACAATACATGCGCTACATATTCAAAGTAACTGTATCAGTTGCAGTTAAACTTAGAATTTTACTGTAATTTTTCTTTAATGTATAATATAATATCAGATTATTTGAGTGCATCATTCTGCATCAGTGATGCGCATAAGTGATGGTATATCCCTGACAAAAGTGTCTGACTAGTCGATAGTAATCGTAAGACATTTGACAAAAAAAGATAAACTTACTTGAGAAGCATCACTGGCCAATTTTCTTCCGTTTTTATGGTGTTATGAATATAAATGTAAGACTTTTTAATACCTTTTCAAAACCAAGTAGAGAAATTTTTAAGAATAAATGTACAGGAACACAATACATCAATATCTTCTCTAAACGTAAATGTCTAGGGAGCAGAAAGTGAATTGTATTGAAAAACTTTCAATGCCGCTTATGGATTGAATACCTCTAATATACCCCACTAACAGATGGATATTTTGTTCTTGTTTCAAGCATAAACTCACTTAATTTTGTATCTTTTCTCAGAAACCAAGACTTTATATGTTCAATTTGCATCTCAAGTAAATTAATCTTGATAGATAATGTTCAGATAACAGTACTGGAAAACAAGACACAACTCCTGAGGAAGAGATTTATTTTTGCAGTACATTTAATGATATGACTTTATGAATTTAATACTTTATGCTCTTGTTTAAGAGTTTCTAAAATCATTTTTTAAAGCCTTTTAAGACCCACCGAAACCCTGTTATACTTGTAAAAAATACAAATAAAAATTCTGCCAATTTAGGAGTAATATTTCAAAGTATTTATATTACATTAAGTCATCTAACGAAATATGTTACAGATTCGATTTTACAGCATGTATTCTGTAATCTATAGTGGAATACACTTTAATGTCAAAGTGCTGTGAAACTACAGCCTTATTTTCTGTATGGCATCATCACCATCAGATTTGTTAATACATTATAAAAGAACTATGTGATATTTTACAACATATCTCAAGATAATACAAACTAAATTCTGTGCAGGACAAGTTTGAAAATGTATGTTTTCGACAAAATTCAAAAAGTTTTTTCTTTCTTGACCAGCGGTTCAAATGTTTTATCTAAAGGAAAATCCATGAAAGTATTGAATATACTGCTGGTGGCACTAGAGGGGTGAAGAGACACTTTAATCACTGTGCTAAATCGTTTAACTTTTCTTGTCTCTCATCCAGATGCAGAATAAGATACATACAGATTGGTGCTTGGTCCCAAATGATCACTATAAATGAAAAAGACACTTACATTACTGATGACAGCCAGGTAGGAAATGAACTTTAGGATGGTCAGCCAGATGCCAATGTCTTGTGCTCTTTCCACGACAGGCCTGCGGTACTCACACACAAACTTCTGGGCATCGAGACGCACCTCCACCCAATTATTTATCAAAGCAAACAATGGAGCCAAGGGACAGGCTGCTACAAAGATGGTGATGAAGCCAAACTGCAGAACTGACAAGATAAAGAGTTTCAAAATCAGCCTTCATCTGAGCTGAACGACGATGGCATTCAATATGAAAGCCACCAAAATTGTAATTTTTGATATGATGGTAATATATATTGTGTTGCAAATGAGATAAAAAATTAAAACTGATCTCTTCTAAACAGGCATACTGTAAATGTAATAAAAATTATAAGCCACAATAAGAACAAAACATAATACACATTGGGATTTTGAACGTGACACTGGGATATTAGAAATTATCTAATAAAATGACAAAGATTCACAGCACATAAATCAGTCTAAAGCAGTTCGGATGTGAATGTACTAATCTGAAAGGGGATTATTTCTGGTATCATAATAGCTGAACTGTCAGAGCTAATAAGCCATTGACTGGATAAAGTCTGTGGCCCTAATAGAATGAAGACCAGGATACTTGTCAGAAGATGTCAGAAGAGATCTTAAAATAAATAAATTATTTATATATATATATATATATATATATATGTGTGTGTGTGTGATTTACACTACTTTTCCAAAAGTTGGGGATAGCAAGTAAAAAAAAAAAAAAAAAGAAATTAATAATTTTGTACAGAAAGGATGCATTAAATTGATCAAAAATGACAGAAAAAAACTATTTCATGGTTTCAAAAATCTGTTTCTAATAAATGCTGATCTTTCGAACTTTCTATTAATCTGAAATAGATGAAAAAGTGTATCCACAAAATAGTAAGCAGCACAACTGCAACATTGATAATAAAAAGAAATGTCATGCAAATCAGTCAAATCAGAATCACGTGACACTGAAAACCTGCGTAATGATGCTGAAAATTCAGCTTTACATCACAGGAGTAAATTACAAATAGAAAACAGCTATTTTAACATATATATAATATAATAATATTATATTTGTATATCTAAAATTCAGTCTAAAATAGATACAAGAGACATAAGGACTCACCCATCTCTAGATACTCATCGAACAGCCCCTCACACACCAGCAACTGATAGTTTGCTTCCCATGGGCTGAGCTCTGGCTGCCTGTCTGGTTCATCAATCACCTCCTGACTGGGAGCTGGCTTCAGCTTCCTCCTGTGCCACCATGTCTTTAATTTACTGTTGGAAAGAGAGGGGTAAATCTTGAGCCTAATTCTTTATATATAACAATGAGTAGACAAGATCTTTAAGAAGATGCATTGAACATAAAGACCTACGGCAAGACAAATTCCTGGATGTTGCTGATGACCTGTTTGCCTACCATAATAACTAACAGTTCTTGAGCTAGTTCAATGAGACATCCAGAGGCACCACACTACATAAAACAAGGACAGAACCAAATTACACAGTAGTAAGAGTTATTCCTATTCCAGAATATGCACATTTTGCCACATTTTATGATTGTGTGGGAATATTGCAACATTGTGTATTTAGATATGACTGACAGTGTCATTTTTGTTAGTTTTATTCCAACAAGGGACAGCCAAGTGAAAAGGTAGAATATTTGCTTTCCAACAATGTAAACACTCACATCCTCATTTCGGATTCCTAGGAGTGTGTTATAGTTTCCAGGGTATCCAACAAACCTGTAGAACAGATCAAATATTAGATGAAAATTGAATCTTCATATATATTCATTCATTCTGCATAGCTACCCACCTGCCCTTGAAAAAAGCAATGTAAACAGGAGATGAGTAGAAGTTGACAAACTGGAAGATGAAGACCTTGAGGATGAACGCATTCTCATATTTGGTCTGGGTGCGGTGCATTTCTAATAGAAGGAAGTGGATGATACTTTGCTGTTGCATAAAGAAATACCTAAATAGTATGTGTAAACATGAAATAGCTTACCCCATCGTGTCAGAATTTGTGCCAGGTAAGTGTAGAGACGTGACAACAACAGAATAACCAGCAAATTTAGCATAGAACCAGTAAGGCTAGCTATCCTTCCAGCCTACATGGGTGAAAAAGCTGTCTTAGTAAGCAAATTATGTAAAAATTGTGCTGCAATATCTGATCTAATCAATGATTATTTTACATCAGCTTTAAGTGTTAGCAAAAGGCGTAAACTTTTCAATCATAGTAGGTGAATTCTAGCTAGTCCAAGCTAGTTTGGCTAATCTGGCAGACCATCTTGAACAAGCAACATACCAAATTTACTATATTCCAAAACTCAGCTAAAATTTTAAGCTGCTGTTAGTTTTCCCTTGCTATACTCCTTCCTAAACCCTCCCTCTACTGTTTCATGGTTGCTTTGTCATTCCTACATCTAACTTGTCTAGTCAGTTTTGGAACTTTTGCATTGCGGGACATCCCTTGTGAAAAACAAGTACACTAAAAACTGTACTTACAGATACTGTAATATAATTTTAATGACCCACCCTTGGAGGGGTTTGAGTGTTTCAGTGACTCCTGGTACGGTCTCCCTGGGCAAATTGGTCCCAGGTGAGAGGCCAGACAAAGAGTGATCCCCCCCCCCCCAATAATCCCCTATGACACAAATGAGTCAGAACAGTGAGACCCTGCCCAGAAGACCAGAAGAGGGATACCAGGGCCCTCTCCTGGACCCAGGACTGGGAGAGGAGCTCACAGGTTGCCATAAGGGCTGTACCTTGATTGCGGAATATGGAATGTGACCTCTCTGGTGGGGAAAAGCCGGAGTTAGTGCAGGAGGTTAAGCGTTACCAGCTAGATATAGTTGGCCTCACTTCTACGCACATCTCTGGCTCTAGAACCAAACTCCTGGATAGGGGTTGGACTCTCTCCTTCTTTGGAGTCACTTAGGGTGAACGGTGCCAAGCGGGGGTGAGAATATTCACAAGTTGCCAACTCGGCATCACTGTGTTGGAGTTTAGCCCAGTAGACGAGAGGGTCCACTAAATGCAACTCTGTCATGGAGGGGACGGCTCTGACTGTGTTCTGTCTTTACACGCAGAACCACAGTTCAGGCTATTCGGCTTTCTTGGAGGTCCTGAGTGGGGCTCTGGAAGGCATACCACAAAAGGAATCCATAGTTTTGCTTGGTGACTTTAACGCTCATGTTGGAGACGATGGAGAAACTTGGAGGGGAGTGATTGGGAGGAACGGCCTGCCTGATCTGAACCCAAGTGGTGTTTTGTTATTGGATTTCTGTGCTTAGTATGGAATGGCCATAACAAACACCATGTTTGAACATAAGGTGGTTCATAAGTGTACTTGGTACCAGACCACATTAGGCCAAAGGTCTTTGATCAACTTTGTAGTCATATCCTTGAACCTGTGGCTGTATGTTCTGAAAACTCAAGTAAAGAGAGGAGCAGAGCTGTCAACTGATCATCACCTGGTGGTGAGTTGGATACGATGGAGGGAGAGACTGCCGGACGGAAACCCAAAAAAATAGTGAGGGTCAACTGGTAAGATCTGGCTGAGGATCCTGTCTGGAATATTTTCAAACCTACGGAGAAGCTTTTCCTTATACCTGGGGGATGCTGGGGACACACACCCTGAGTGAGCCCTGTTCAAAGCCTCCAATGTAGAAAGCGGCTGCTGCGAGCTGTGGCTGGAAGATTGTTGGTGCCTGTCGCAGTGGCAACCCAAAGACCAAGCTGGTGCATGCCAGCATTGAGGGAGGCCATCAGGACAAGAGGGAGGCCTTTTGGGTTTGGTTGACTTATGGGTCTCCTGATTCTGCTGACAGTTATTGGCAGGCTAGAAGGGCCGCAGTGGTCAAGGAAAGCAATAATTCCGGTGAGGGAGGAGCTTAGGGAAGCCATGGAGAAGGGCTTTTGGTTGACCTCATAGATTTTGGCAAACCATCTAACAGCTGAGGCAGGGAAAGCATGGCCTGTTCCAGGCTGTTGTAAGTCGGGACGGGGATTTGCTGACCTCACCTGATGATGTAGTCTGGAGGTGGAAGGAACACTCCTGAACCCGGAGGACATGCCCTGAATCAGTGAGGTAGTCAAAAATTTGGCAAGGCGCTGGGGGTGGATGAGATTCGCCATGAGATGCTGAAGGCCCTGGATGAAGTTGGGCTGTCTTGGTTGACACATCTGTTCAGCATTGTGTGGGAATCTGGGACAGTGCCTGGTGATTACCAGACAGATGTGGTGGTTCCTACTTTTAAAAAAAGAGGACTGGAGGGTGTGTTCCAATTACATATAGGGATCACACTCCACAGCCTGCCTAGGAAAGCATATGCCAGAGTGCTGGAAAGGACAATTCGATTGATTATCGAACATCCCTGTCTCTTGAAATGATCCTGCTTCTGTTAGCTCCTTCAAATATGAGTCCATGGTTCTCAGCAGGAAAAGGGTGTATTGTTCGCTTCAGATAGAGAGTAAGTTGTTTCACCAATTAGAGGAGTTTAAGTACCTCAGGGTCTTGTTCAAGAGTGAGTGTAGGTAAATGAGATCAACAGGTGGATCAGTGCGTTGGCAGCAGTAAATGCGGTCATTGTACCAGGCCATCATGGTGAAGAGAGAGCTAAGCATGGAGGTGACGCTCTCAATTTACCAATCGATCAATGTTCTAACCCTAACCTATGGTCATGAGCTATAGGTAACGACCGAAAGAAGGAGATCGCGGATACAGTCGGCTGAAACTAATTGAGACGGCAGGGTGTCTGGGCTGACCCTAAGAGACAGGGTGTGAAGCTCAGACATGCGTGAGAGGAGCGTTGAAAGGACCCAGTTGAGGCAGTTCTGGCATCTGTTCACAATGTCTCCCAGATGCCTTCTGATGAAGGTGTTTCTGGCATGTCCAACTGGGAAGAAACCCTGGGGCAGACCCAGGACATGCTGGAGGGATTATATCTCTCGACTGGCCTAGGAACGCCTTGGGATCCCCCAGGATGAACTGGAGGAAATGGCCAGGGAAAAGGACGTATGGGCATCCTTACTCAGCCTGCTGCCACCATGACCCGGTCCCGGATAAGCAGCGGAAAATGGATGGATGGATGCATTTATAGATCATTTTAATGAAATAAAGGGCCATTTTTTTGTTTACTTAAAGAAAGTGTACCTGCCACGACTCCTCTGGCCACTGCTGGATTTACGACGTCCTCCTAACCACCGTCGAGGGCTTTGAGAGGAAGATCAGCCACTTCCCGTGCAGTGGTTAGGTCTCCCTCGCAGCATCAGCAGCATAGCCTTGTATGGGAGGAAGAGCAAGCTACAACTCCCCAACAGTAGTCTGTCGGAGGAGTTTATGGTTTCCCAATCAAGAGAGGTGATGCTGTACAGAGAATCCACTGACACCAAAGTCTTTCACAGGTAGGAAGTGGAGGGCCTAGGAGGCAGTCGACCAGGCTGAAGCACAGTGTGCTGGTGGAGACAGTGGTGTCAGGACGTGCAGGGCATTGTTGTAACCATAAACCTTGATATGACAAGGCCTGGGGAAAGGACACGCGTCAACTGGTCCAAGAAGAAATCCGAGCAGGGGTGGAGGAAAGATGTATCAGCAGGATGATGGGGATGTGACATCAAGGGGCATGGACTCGATGGGAACAGGTGATGGATCGAAGGATCTTGTGGGCAGAGTTGTGGAAAGCAGAGCCACACCGGATCCAGTTCCTTATCCAATCAGTATACAATGTACTCCCCAGCCCAAAAAACTCTTCTCCTGGGGCCTGAAAAGACAGCCCTGCATGCCTCCTATGCCAAAAAAAGAGGATCCCTGGAACACATATTAAGCTGCTGCCCTTAAGCCCTGGGAGAGGGATGTTATCGGTGGCACCACGACCAGGTGCTAAGGGTCATTGCAGGAACCATCAGCACAGAGATCTCTCTCAGCAAGCACCACTTTTTGGCCTCAAGATGGCGACGCGTTCACACGCTGCGGCTTCTCTCTCTCCCGACAGAAAGGTGTTTTCGTGTTTTTTGTCTTGTGAATCGCAGTGTTTTTGTACGTATTCGTCGCGTCTATCTGTCTCTAAGCTCAGCAGCCAGCACAGCGCTCAATCGAATTTGTCAAGGATGGAGAGAAACCAACACAGAGCAGGAACTCAGCAGGGGGACTTCTGGCAACAGCTCAGAATTGGCAGATAAAGGTTTACCTGGGAAGGCAGCTCAAATTCCCAGAAACCATCACTACGACCACGCTTAGGCCTGACATGGTCCTTTATTCAGAACCATCAAGGCAGATGGTTCTACCGGAATTGACAGTGCCCTGGGAAGACCGGATGGAAGAGACATTTGAACAGAAGAGGGCCAAGTACGAGAAGTTGGCAGGTGAATGCCGTAGCAGAGGATAGAAGACCTGCTGCCTCCCTATCGAGGTTGGCTGCCGAGGGGAGGCAGGCCAGTCGCTCTGCAGGGCCCACAAGCTCTTGGGAATCAGGGGACTGTACAAGAAGAAAGCCTTCAGGAACATCATAAATGCCACCTTGAAGGCATCTAGATGACTGTGGATCAAAAGGGGTAATCCGTGGACCACACAAGCTACCTAGACACAAGTCAGGGACTGATCTCCCCTGGCTGGGTCGCCTGGGCTAGGGTGTATGATGTTGAAAAAACCGAAACACCCTATGACCCCAGGTTATATCACTGATGATGTTTCTAGGGTGCACCTGTAAGGTGTGTCAAATTCTAACAAACTTAAATACACTTTTAAAAATGCACTTTGTAATAATAATGTCAAATTTAATATTTTACTTTAAAGTACATTTTAATTCATTTGTTCACATGGTGTAAAAATCTTTAGTCATTCTTTAAATAAATACAATTATTTTGATGTGTTGAGTAACATACTAAAGCACATGTAAAGTACTTTATTATCATTTTAACTGTAGTGTGTCATTTGATATTACATTTAAAGTTAATATATTTCAAATGTACTAAATTGCAGCTTCTTCATTATAAATGTGTAATTCAAATGTTTTAAACACGACACACAAGTTTCAATAGCAATGGTGTTAAAGTATATTTTAGTTTATAGTTCAGTATACTTTAACCATATTTTAATATAAGTAATTATGAATTTATATATAAAGATGTACTTAAGTCCTACTTAAGCAAGTAAAAAGGCACTCTGAAGTTCAGCTTTTCATTTATTAAGTATATTGTTTTCATAATGAGTACTCTTATTAAAAGTGTACTTCTTTTTCACAAGGATTTTCAAGTTACTTTGAATATAAGTGTTAGCTAATGTAAATTCCCATGTAAATGTACATGCAAATGATCTAATCTAAAAGAGCAACAGTCACTTCATAATCTTTATTCACTATGCAGATAATTTGGTCAGGTATCAAAAGAAATTAAAAGAAACATACGGAAAATATGAAGAAGGCATTCTGCGATCTGTAGATAATGATGCTTAGGATAGTTCGATACAGGATAATGGCTATTAGGAAAATCAAAACAATGGCAATCTGCAAGCACAAAGAATAAAATTGAATCATGATGATAATGATTTAGAATTTTTGGGGATTACTGAAGATTTCTCAACAGATGTGAGATGGAAATCCATTGACTAACCATTAGAATGATGACCATATTACCAGTTAGAGTACGACTCAGTCGTTGAGTCTCTGGGAAATAGGGTTCTTCAGCCCCAGTCACAGGATTACGAACCGTCATGGGCGCCAGTGCTGTGAATTCTGGTCTTGGCCTCTCCTAACATCAGAATGGAAATATTATGGAAAGCAAGAGAGGACTAGTAAATATTAAAGGTTAAGACACTCTGTAACCAATTTAATCACCTCTATTTCTTCAAATTCGGAGCAGTCCCATCGGTGGGAGAGTATGGAGCTTGTGCGTTTCCAGTACTCCAGGAAGGTGACGGCCCACAGAGACATGAATATACTGAAGAACACAGTTCCTCCATTGTCAAATAGCAAGCCTGCCTATTGCAAATTTATGAACAAGTATTTTGAGAACAAAATGTGATAGCTAGTTCAGAGAATGTTATTTTTGGCTTATTTAAAATGCTATACATAATTTAAAAACTTAGAAAAGTCACCTTATAAGTATAGCAGATGCTGGAGAGGTTCCAGTAGCTGCAGATGTTGCATAGTGGACACATGACAAAGGCGTCTCCACTGGAGCACAGCTCTTCTCTGTGTGGTCAAAGGTCATGATCAGTGCTGGATCATTAACATTACGCCGTTATTAACAAGACTGTGATAATACTCACGCTGCCACATCAGTGATCATCAGCCAGATACCAAACAGAAAAATAATAAAACCCACTACTGCTGCTGGTAATAACCAGCCTGTGTAGAAACCTACAGACATGAGAAATAAGGACAGAAAGCTAGTCACAGCCTGTTATGATGAAAACAGTAGACTGTTTAAATTAACTTAGATTGAATGCAAGATTTCTGGTGCATTTTTATTTCATTTTGTCTTATTATTAAGTCTACCTATTAAGTATTTACAAAATCATCTACTTATTATTAGCAATAATGGTAACACTTTGCAATAGAGTCCCATTACTTAACTTTAGTTCATGCATTAACTAACATTAACTAATAATTTGCAACACATCTGTTACTGTATTTATTCATCTTTGTGCATTTTAGTTAATAAAAATACAACTGACCATTGTTGGTTTAAGTTAGCTCAGGTCCATTAAACAAGATTAACAGATTAACATTAACTAAGAATAATAAATTCTCAAGAAGTATTTTTATCCATAGTTCATGTTAATTAATGTAGTTAACTAATGTTAACAAATGGAATTACTCAGTAAAAAAAATAATTATTTATTATTATTGTTATTATTATTATTATAAAAATATGATAGATACAGATTTTTTCTGGTATAAACTAAATGTAGGTTCAATCATACCCAACCATGCAAAGTAGAGTGCTATCTTCTCGCCAAAGTATTCACGAATGTGATCCACAGGTTGGTACTTCCTCCAGCAAGCCCAGCGAGCCCAGTAGTGATGCAGGATCTGTCTCATGTTGAGAGACTGTGGATCTATTGGAGTCTTCGGCATCTCAGATGGACCCTAATGAGAAGAACACAAATCATTGCCTGTTCAAAATCAAAATGATATAGTGCTTGCATTGATTATGGAAATATTATAAAGAGTTTGTGTGTGTGTGTGTGTGAATGAAAGAACATGCATTAAGAAAGGTCAGTTTTGATTTCATGTTGGCTTTAAGTAGTGCTGTATAGCTACATATGTAAACAAAGAAAGAAACGTGCATAATTAGTATGTTTGTTAAGGTAATGTTCAGATATTATGTAGAATACTCTTACAATACCTCATGTAAAGGAAAAGCAGCAGTGAGAACATTCTCACTAACCAGCCTGCCAATGCCAACCTCCCCTCTAGTCAACGATCCATATGGAGTCCTGGCTAATATCTCATACAGCTTTAGAACAAGGACAAAGATATTACGGAAAACTGACAGATCAGTGTGAACAGTGTTAAAGAGAGTGAAAAATAATTTTGTCCATCACAGACATTGTACAGACTACTAATTTGTAAAATAAATTAATCATGGGTGACAAATATGCAAATATGCTTGCAAATGTTTCTTCGGCTTCGGTAACTGAAAACTTTCATGCAATGCTGCATCCACAGATGTCAAGACATGTCGTATCGCTTAGCAAAAGAAAGAAAAACACCTCTTAGTGCACCACAAATTTCAGGAAAAAACACTCAAAACTCACTATCTGATGCCTCTGTGTGGTCTTGAAAAACGTATCCTTGTTTTCATGACCAAGAAACCTAAAAGCAGCATAAGTAAGATAAAGAGTAAGATAATGTATTCAATTAAACACTCTCTTTGCACACGCTTTATAACAGTGTATATAGATGCAACAGCTTGAATCAAAATGCACAATAAAAATATTCGGTAACACTTTACAATAAGATTCATTAGTTAAAGCTGCAGTCCGTAAGTTTTGCCTCTTTGTCGCCATCTCTGTTTGAAAACCTGCAATTGCAGCTATTTGCGGAATTATCTTCTTTGCGTGGGTTGTGCACCAGCACTGCTCCAGCGCGGATTAATCTAATGTGTGGATACTACACTTTGTATTCACAGATTCTACATCTTGAAAGTATGACCCAAATAAGAGTTTTTACTGGAGAATGTCATCTGAACAAGTAAGTAACAACTGCCACTTTTGTTCTGATCAACTGAGGAAAAAAGCATTACAATAAATTGTGCTATCAATGGTGATTAAATCTAACGATCGGTTAGCTCATATCACATCAACCCGTGCCAATTATTATTATTGTTATACTTTGTTTTCAAATTGTTGACGTTAATAACATCAGCACTGCGTAAGTGCGTGTATTTAGTGTGTATTATTCTGGATGACAATCTGCCATTTATTCCAGCTTCTTTGAGAAAAGGCTATAAACGATCCTCCACCTGTAGGATCCTCACGTGTGATACACCACTCTAGCCGGGACAACTTCTTTATGTTTACAGACGTGACGTAATGACGCAGCGCCATGCTCAAATTTCCTGCGAAAACCAACCCGTACCGCTCAAATTAGAAAATTGTATTACAAGCTTACCGTTGTGAATCAAGCTAAAGTAAGGCGATAGTTTTGAACACTTGCTCAAAATTTGATTTTGGATCATTGTTAAACAAAAAAGTTACGGACTGCAGTTTTAACATTGGTTAACTACAAACATGAACTAAGCATGAACAATACTTCTACAGCATTTATTAATTTTAGTTCATGTTAATTTCAACAGTTACTAATGCATTATTAAAATCAAAAGTTGTGCTTGTTAACATTAGTTAATGCGCTGTGAATTAACAATGAACAACTGTATTTTCATTAACTAACATTAACCAAGATTAATGAATACTATAATAAATGTTTTGCTCTTTGTTTGTTCATGTTAGTTAATACATTAACTAATGGAACCTTATTGTAAAGTGTTACCAAATATTCAGTTCACAAGTGATATTTATACATGAGACCTCACATCTCATATGTGAGCTCTTCACAAAACATTTACACTAACTTCTGAAAAAAACTTCATTAGGGCAAACTTGTTGTTTGTGTTGAAAATTATGCTATATTATATTAGCATTATTTTAACCAATAACACATAATCTTTATATAACCAAATTAAAATAGTTTAAGCCCTGGGACACAAAAATACACAAAGTTGTTTGTAGGTGTGTGTGAGTAAATAAATGGGTCATTTGACACAGCAAGCACTTTGCATATGTGTGTGTTTGGAGTGTGTGATGTGTTTGTCTTTAAGGAGGTGCTGACTCTCTGCAAACACTAAAGTGTATGAACTGCATGTTACATGACAGGCTCAGATCCTCTTTGTTAAGCACATTTTTAACATCTTTGTTAATTCACATGCTTCCCCTGTTGCGGCAAATTTTCATTATTTTATTACTGATGCTTTGTGCCAGTTTCACAGGAAGTGACGATTTTGCTCTCTTAAACACATGGGATAGAAACTGTGCTTATTTTCAAATGTTTTATGCAAAATTCCAATTTTTCCAATTTTAATTCGCAAACTTTGGATGGAAACATGGCTAATGTTAATTTAATGACCAGTAGAGCTCTAAAAGAGAAACATGTTGTCTTTTTTGGATCAGTATGGATCAGTACCTCTCTAGTTTATTGGTGTGGAACTGGCAGGTGTAGTAGTCCGGTGGAAGGTTGGGTACATCTTGTGCCATTATGTTTGGGATATGCAGTTTTTCTAGGATCTTCTCAGACCAGTTTGATATTGGAGTTGTCACAACCTGAAAACACCCAATAGAGGAGGACAGTAAGATATATTGAGTATATAATTTACTTTTTGATATAAAAGATCAGGTATGATTTACCTGTAATGGTACTCGAAGGCTGATTTCCTCAGCATAATAACACAGAATATTCCAGGGCGCACTCAGAAGGACGTAAGTAGTCTTTGTTTTTCCCTGTAAAACCTCTTTCTGAGACACATTCAGAGCAGGAGAAAAACATTAGGGGTTCTGGCCCTCGAGGTCCACTTTCCTGCAGGGTTTAGCGCCAACCCTAATCAAACACACCTGAACAAGCTAATCAAGTTCTTCAGGATCACTAGAAAGTTACAGGCAGGTGAGTTTGATCAAGTTTGGAGCTAAACTCTGCAGGAAAGTGGACCTCGAGGGCCAGAGCTGAGAAAACCCAGCATTAGAAAGTGTCCTTGCAGACAGTTTGCTTTGGCGCACCTAAAAATATCTGATTTTGGTTCTTTAAAAGGGCACTTAAGTGTTGATGCTTCTTTAAAGAGTTTGATGCATACTTAAAGAAAATGTTTTAAAGGGGTCATATGATGTTGCTAAAAAGAACATTATTTTGTGTATTTGGTGTAATGAAATGTTTATGTGGTTTAAGGTAAAAAAAAAAACATTATTTTCCACATACTGTACATTATTGTTTCTCCTCTATGCCCCGCCTTTCTGAAACGCGTCGATTTTAACAAAGCTCATCGATCTGAAAAGCGAGGTGTGCTGTGATTGGCCAGCTATCCAGTGCGTTGTGATTGGCCGAATACCTCAAGCGTGTGACGGAAATGTTACGCCCCTTACCATACTGTGATGATGCCCTGTCAGGCCGGAGCGATGATTCAAAAACATGAAAACCCATTACAAACGAAGCATTTGTTGCATCCAGTGGGGACACAATTACGGATTATAATGACTTATACTGTCTTTTTACGCGTTGCGTTGCATCGCGCCGCGTAAAATATCTCTTCGGATTTGAGACTTTAGTCTTTTGCAACTTTACAGATCTTCTTTATGCACCAAGAGCTTGTAACACTCCAAAGAGAAAGGAAAAATTTAAATTGCATCATATGACCCCTTTAAGACAAAATTCAAAGCGGGTAATCCTAGAGTATGCATTTTAGATAATTCAACACAGACTACATTTACATGCATAAATATTCATTGTAATGTGGCAATATTCAGGTTAGTATTGAGTAGTATTAATTACTGTTAATCTTAAATTTGATTTCAGGGCTTAAATTTCGGCGCGGGATTGCAGGGATTGTGCATAATTGCGGGAAATTCCCGCAAATATTTCAGCGTGAAAGACACTCGGGACAGATGACGGAATGCATCATTTGCACGTGCTTTTGAGTCTTACAATTTTAAACATTCAAGCGCTCAATTCAGTACTTGTGCGCTCTCTGTGAGACTCCTTTCTGTGAGCTCACACCCAAAGCGCGTGCACAGAGCCGCATCTGAGAGCGCGTGACTACAGAATGAAGTTGTGTTGCGTCTTATTGAGCGTAAACAGCCAAATACATACAAAATGATGTCAAAATGCCCATCTTGATGAGTATCCATGTAAAGAGTTGAGAAACAAAACTTATGTGTAACAGTTAGATCCGTGCCTGAGGTCTTAAAGAGACAGCAACCTAAATAAACCTGCTGCTGTCTGTCATTAATGCTTATTTATACATTGAAGACTAACCAGTGTTATTTTAAAGTTAAATAGATTATTCCGTTTCTGTGGTATTTCTGTACCTGGATATTACTGTTATACCTACCTGAAAAACTTAAAGCACAGTTCATTTTAGTTGTATCTCGTTATTATATTTGTTTGTGCCATTGCTTGTCATTTATCTATTCTTATTTAATTAGTGACTGTTTACTTGTCTTTTTTAGAGTTTGAAATCAAAGTTCCCCCCATAAGAGCCACCTAAAGGGGGAATTAAAATAGATGCATTTATGTGTTATCAGACCGTTTTGAAGGTGTTCAGAAGTGTTAGAGTCCTAAACAAAACTGCAGATAACATTAATAAAATAAATGACTTAATGGCAGTTTCTTAAAAGTTTTCTTAAGTACACCTTTAAAAAGTGCACATGGTAAAAAAGTCAAATTGAAGTACATTTTAAATCATTATGTTTTTCAAACACATTACATTCAGTTTGAGCTTAAGTATATGCTTTTATAGTATGCCTATTTCCATAGTAAGTACTCTTCCTTTTTTTTTAAATATGCTAAAGTGCACTTCTTTTTCACAAGGCTGTATAGGACTATGGCTGCAACCCAAATCTAGAATTTAAAGAGAATTTGATGCGTGTGAAAATGTAGTCGGAGTTACGTACCGTCTCCTGATGAAGGCCGGCAGTCCGGAGTCTGGAAAGAAACTCTGTCCTCCACTTCCTGTGAGTGTCACGCGAGGAACCCGACGATACTTCATCTGATTCTGCAAACTTCAGGGGGTTCACAAATTCCTCCCACACCAAGACAAAATCTGATGGCACATTCACAACGATGTCTTCATATTGATCAAATGCACTGAAATTCTAAATCTGACTTATTCTGAAATCATCACTATTTATCAGCATTATACAGATGAATCTCATACAAGAAACAGATGGGAAATATTGTTAGTAGAGAAAATGCACAAAAATATCTCTAAAAGACCTTTTTTGCCCAATCCTTTGTCAAAATGACTAAATTAAGCTCTCAGAAATCAAGTCTTTTCATTGATGTGCTTGTCTCCCCATACTCACCGATCCGGGTGACCCCATCACTGAACACGTTCATGTTTTCCTGAGGTGCCGCACTCATCTGTGAATAACATGCAGACATATCCATTATCAATATGCATATGAAGAACTGATATTCATGCATACAAGAAAATTCCTAGGAAAAGCCTCTAATGTGTGTCTTATCAGGGCTATTAGGGTGGAGTGGTGGAGGGTGAGAGATGTGAGGAAATTTGGCATGTTTGCAGACATTGTTAACTGCTAATTAGCTTCCTCTCTTTGTGACCGCTGATGATTTTTGTAAACAACCTGCAGTTATTTAAACACACACACACACACACACACACACACACACTCACACTCACACACACTCACACACACGCACGCACACACACGCACACACAGGCGGTTGTGGTACCTCCATGCTCCCGTAGGTTTGTTCAGGATGGTCCGAGAGGGCGATAAGTGTGGAGCTGTCCTCCACTAAATTCTTCTTCCTTTTCATCATTATCCCAAAACAGCCAGTTCACCTCTGTGTTTTCTGACTGCCAATCTGAGAACCTTCTGCCCCTCTTTAAAACATGATGCAATGATTAAGTTATTATTTTGTAATAAAGAACCAAAAATACAAAATCTGGCATGTACAATATCGGTAAAAAGTTTGGAATAATCACATTTTTTCAATGTCTTCTCTTCTGCTGACCAAAGCTGCAGTTATGTGATAAAAAAAAAAACAGTACATGAAATACAATTCTGAAATAAACGATAAAATAAAATAACGGTAACACTTTACAATAAGGTTCCATTATTAACTAACATGAACAAACAAAGAACAATACATTTATTACAATATTTATTAATATTTGTTAATGTTAGTTAATGACAATGAATCTTATTGTAAAGTGTTATCAAAATAACTTTTCAATTTGAATGTATTTTAAAATGTAATTTATTTCTGTGATCAAAGCTAAATTTTCGGCATCATTACTCCAGTCTTCAGTGTCACATGATCTTCATATTTTAAAATATTTCTGTGATCAAAGCTAAATTTTCGGCATCATTACTCCAGTCTTCAGTGTCACATGACACATGATAATCATTCTAATATGCTGATTTGCCGCTCAAAAAACATCTCTGATTATTATCAATGTTGAAAACAGTTGTGCTGCTTCATATTTGTGTGGAAACCATAATACTTTTTTTTTCATGATTCTTTGATGAATAGAAAGTTCAAAAGAGCAGCATTTATTTGAAATAGAAATATTGTGTAGCATTATAAATGTTTTACTGTCCCTTTTTTATGTCCCTACTGAATAAAAATACTGATATATATA